GATGCAGTTACTGTGGTGACGCCCATTCCCCTTCACAGTGCCAGTTCGTAAATTCACAGTGCTTCACGTGCGAAAAAACTGGGCACCTTGCAGGAGTATGCCGAACGGGGAAGCAAAACAGCAGACCATAGCAGCAGCTTGGATCAAGCCCAGGCTCCACACCAGCCCGCAGTCAGGGTAAGCGTCGCAGGTGGCGGCGGGGAAGTGCGCCAGCAGGCTCGGGTTCCTCTGCAGCCAGGCTCAACGTCGTGACCGAGGACCCGCCTATTTTCGACATGTGGCACACAGGCCTTGTACCGTCATCTGTGCCACCGTATGTACTAACCGTATAAGTTTACAGGCGCGCCATTTTCATGGAACTGGACACGAGGGCCAGTGCATCGGTCATGGCTGGCAAACTTTTCAAAAGGACCTTCCCTGGTGTGGCTGTCAAAGCTTCTGGAGTCGTACTGCAAAGTTACTAGGGAAAGCTTTCCCAGGTCCAAGGCCAGGCCCAGGCCAGCATTCTTTTTGACAACAGGGAAGCAACCCTTCCCCTGTATTTGACCACAGGGTCGTCACCGACACTGCTCGGCAGGAATTGGGTTTGCGCACTGGGTGTTCGGCTGCCAAAATGTCATGTCCAGGAAGCAGCCCTACATGGCGTACAAGACATCCTAAGCCTCCTAATGAAGTTTTAGTCACTGTTCAAGCCAGGGGCGGGCACATTCGCCGCTACGACCGCTGGGATCTATGTACCTGAGGGAGTCCAGCCTCGGTTTTTTAAGCCTCGCCCGCTGCCATTTGCACTTAAAGACTTTGTCACCCAGAAGCTGCAACGGTTACAGCGAGAAGGCATCCTGGTACCAGTAAAAACTGCAAAGTGGGCCGCTCCCATAGTTCCAGTTTTCAAGCGAGATGGTGGTGTCAGAATTTGTGGGGATTTCAAGGTTACGATCAACCCCATGGCTATCGTTGGAAAGTACCCCCTGCCTCGGATTGAAGATCTCTGGTCGGCTTTGTCTGCTGGCCAGAAATTCACGAAGCTTGACCTTCTCAAGAATGCGTACCAGCAGTTGGATCTCTAGGAGGCTTCACGGAAGTTTGTCACAATATCGACAACTATGATGCTATTCCAGTGTACGTGTTTAACATTCGGCGTGGCCTCGGCACCAGCCATTTTTCAGAGAGAAATGGACAACCTCTTCAGGAGCATGAGGCACGTGGCAGTGTACTTAGACAATATCCTCGTCCTTGGTATTGACAACGGAGACCACATGCAGAATCTGCACAACGTTCTGACCAGACTTCAGTATTCTGGTCTGAAGCTCAAGCGGGAAAAATGCATGTTCCTGGTTCTCAGTGCAGAATACCTGATACACGTCATCTTCCAGGCCAGCCTGACTTCAGCCCCCTGCAAAGTTAACGTTTGCTTCTCGCCGTCTTCACAAAGCAGAGCAGCGTTACAGCCAGCTGGACAAAGAAGGCCTCGCCCTAATGTTTGGCGGCAAGCATTTTCACCAGTATCTGTGGAGCCCAATGTTCGAGTCAGTCATGGACCACAAACCACTGCTGGAGCTACTAGGGCCAGATAAGGCGGTCCCCGTGCAGGCATCACCTCGGGTGGTACGATGGGCCTTGAAGCTGGGGGCCTACAGCTACCAGTTGGTGTACCATCCGGAAAAAGACCTGGGGCCTCCTGATGCCCTGAACTGGTTGCCGCTGCCAGAATTCCTGCTGCGGTTCCAGAGCCAGTTGAAGTACTCATGCTGGAGCATGTGTACCCAGAGGTAATATGCAGGTCTGCTGTGTCGCGAGCGAACAGTCGGGACTCAGTCCTATCCCAGGTGGTGAAGGCAGTATCCCGAGTGGAGGAGTTGGTGCAGCAGTCCAACAGCCACAAAGCCGCTGAGCTGACCTGGAGCAAGGGTGCCTACTTTGGGATTCCAGGGTGGTGATCTCACAGTCTTCGGTCCAGGGTTCTGCAGTTGTTGCATGCGGGGTATCCTGACGTAGAAAAGACAAAAATGGTGACCTGCACTGGACCAGAACACTGATCACATGGTGTGGAGCTGCCAAGTCTGTCAAGAACATCAACGGGCTATGCGTCATGTGTAGATCACCTCATGGCCATTCCCAGAGGCCCTGGTCCCGCCTTCACGTGGATTTTGGGGGCCCTTTCAAAGGTCACTAGTTCCTGGTGGTGGTTGATGCATTCTCAAAGTGGGCGGTGGTTATACCTGTCATCACTCCGTCAGCAAGTGCGACCATTTCAGCACTGTGGCAGATCTTTGCAGCCCAGGGGCTGCCGGACATCATAGTCTCCAATAATGGGTCCGCTTTTGCCAGCGCAGAGTGTCTGGTCTGGCTGACAAAGAACAGAATCCGCCGATTGATGGTTCCTCCATACTACCCTGTTTCAAATGGTGCAGCTGAGCGGGTGGTGCAGATGATTAAAGACAAAATTAAGAAGAGCCAGGGGGGGTAATTTCGTATGCAGGTCACCCGCATACTTTTTCAGTATCGGACTACACCTCATGATGTCACCGGCCGTGCCCCCTGTGAGCTTTTCCTCGGACGGATGGTGAAGACACCGTTGGACATTTGGCATCCAGACCTCCGGTCCACAGCGCTCCTCAAACAGCTGAAACAGAAGCTGGCTGCTGACAAAGGGTGCTGTCCTGGGCCATTGCCTAAGCCTGGAATGCCAGTATTGGCCAGGAATTTGTTATGGCCCACTTTGGTCTGCTGTATAAGTGGTCTCACCTGCAAGCTCCTCCTCTCTGCAGGATGGAACCACATGACACCGACATGCTTATCATGTGAGGCTAACCGCAGGACCTGGCTTGCATCTGCGGCAGCACCAGTTGCGGCCAGTGAGACAACCATTTCGCAAGAAACAGGAGCCTCCCGTTGTGCGCCACTAGTTGGGTCACCGACAAGTTCAGTGCCATCTCTGCCAACCACGGCACAGTCTCAGGAGGAATGAAGAGCGGTTCAGGCAGCAGCTTGTGCTACCACTCCTAGTCCCTCAACATCTGTACCCAGGCAGAGCAATTGACGATGAAGGGCACCAGACCGCTTTTCGCCTACCTAAACCAACGTCGAACCCGCTGGGACTTGTAATTTTTATTTTGTGTACATTTACTGGGGGTGAGGGATGTAACGAGCGTGTGGCGCCCTACGTGGCCTATTTTCATTACCTCGCCAAGTTAGGCAGGCAACCTTGTTCATGCTTGGATAATAAACACTGATGAGTACTGCTCGGCAGTCAGTAGCTGTTACTCTGTCATGCGTGTGGTGTCGTCCTTGCCAGAGAGTGGTGCCTCGGTCCTCCCTCTTGTGAATGGTCTTCAGGGCAGATCGTGACTCTGACCTTGTTTGTAGCACCGCACATTGCTTTGGCAGGGTGGTTACTGGTTTTCTCAGCGCACTTTACTCCTCGCATTATCACACCTTTCCCTGTAATTGGCAAGACTATCAATGTGGGGGACTTCGAGAAAAGCTTTTGATGTCTCCATCGCACTCTCGGTAGCCGTTGTTTGCAATGTCAATGACAATACCTGACTTGGCGAAGAAATCTCAAACAAAGATTAAAGACATTGACACCCCAGGAAAATGCACGAAACATCGCCTTACGCGCTTTTCCCAGCAAATCACTAGCCTAGCCACGCTGCTCGATTTTGCTGTGCCTGAAGCAAGACGGAAGATAGTGTTGCTTTGTCTCCAGCGGATATTGTTCTCGCGGACATGGTGCAACACATTGTCCCCAAATAAAAAAAGCACTTGCCCCAAAAGTGCTACGAACTTCTTTTCAGCTATCATTAACTTGATTAGCGGTGCAAGCGAGCCTACGGCATTACCTGCTTTACAGACTGAGGGTGCCAGTGACCTGAACGCGTCGGTAATTCTGATCGCCATGCGGTGTTCGATACGGTTCATCAGTGGCGCCGTCAGTATCCCGAGCTGCGCGTTTGCTCCTGACCCTGCGTGCAGTCGCATTTGCAGGTGATGTGCCCTGGCAAGCCACACTGATAGCTAGGACCGCGGACACCACGCCAGCTTGATTGTAAATCGCCTTGATCTGGTGGGCCTCGCACTGGATTGCGCCGCTTGTCAGATTTCGTGTCGGCCACACGCTCCCGCTGTGAAATGCCACATGTGGGGGCGGTGTGGGATGTACGAAGCGCTTAAGCACAGGGTTCCAAAGAGCGGTCTGACAGCTCGTAGCCACGTGGTATGTGCTCATCAACGAACGATGCTGATAGGTTACCCTTTACGCCTCTGAAGCTACTGCATCACCATTGGACTAGATTAGGCTAGATTGACTGTAGTGCAGGCGGAGGCGAGCAACATGCTCTCACTGCGGGGATGTCCCCTTGTATGCGCTTCGCTGCGGCGGCAAGCTCTTTTAGGTCTGCGAACTTGCATCACTTGGCTGCAAAAGTCGGGTGCGCTTGTCTCGGTAACGTGTTCAACCTTTTCTGCATTGGTGGCATGAGGTTTAGCAAGATGATACAGTCTGTCCATCGCCCCTACATACTTTAGCAAGGATTCATCCGATGCTGGGTGCGTTGCTCTAACTCCCTTCGCAATCGCCACTCATAATTAGCCGGAATGAATTTGCTGCAGAAGCTGTCGCAAAACTCTTGTAACGTGCGTGCGCGACGTCCGGCTAGTCTGTAAGGAGGAGCCTGTAATTAATTATCTGTTGCGTGCTGTAGCAGACAATGTGCCGTGTTATGTTTAACAGGCCTCCAGCAACACATCGCAGCAAGAAATCAAGTCGTGAAAAAAAAAATGGGAGCCTTCATTGCGTGTATGCTTCAGGGCTGTTACCATGACAATCTCAATCTACGCAGAGTAGCTTAAGCTAGCTGGCAAGGGCCGAAGTGCGTATATTTTTCCAGTGTCGGCCCGTGTATATGCAGCTTGTCAGCACTACTCGTGGTCACAGAAACTATTTCTGCATAGCAGGAGTCCCTGTGAATATTCTTACATCTCTGCACGTGTTAATGCAGGGCTTCTGACTGTTGCACGACCCCTGGCGGTGCTGCCTGAAAGTCTTGTTCTGAACATCACTGCCAGTGACAATGGATCACCACGACGTAGCGCCCATCAGGAGCTGCACGTGCATCGTAGCGAGGCACCACAACGGCCACCACGCTTTGACGAGTCACACTACGCAGCAAATGTGTCTGAGGATGCTCCTGTGGGCACTACTGTGCTTGTGGTTCGTGCATCAGGTATGCTTTATGATTCTATTACCATCTTTTCTGTTATCACAGTAGCAATTACAGTCGCCCACGGATTTTTAGGCCCTAAATATTTGTACTTGTTGGATTTTTTGGACTTCTCAAATGCATCGTCAAGGTTCCCATTGCACTAATGGTTTTTGGCGACCAATGATACGGACAATTTTCATGCCTAAATTAGATTTTTCGGACTAAGTCGCTCGTGCTCAGCCATACCGCTCAAGTTTGAAAGCTGCCATGTTGGATATTTTGTTGGCTTGGTCAGGTTTGTCTTCCAGTGGCCAGTTGTGTTGCCTCTAAGATTAGGAGCATGAACAATCTTCCAGTTTCAGAGACTATGTCTTACCTTTCTTGGCTGGCAAAAGGCTCAAAGGTATGCAACTTTTCTTCTTCTGTCAGCCGTATCGTCATTGTTAGTGCGCTGATGGGTGGTTTTTTTGCTGCATTTTTATTTCTTGGTTATCATTCCACACGTGATCAAGTTGGTGTGTCGAGTGTTTTTGAGCCGTCATATGCATCGCATGTTCTTTTCTGGTGCAAATGCTCCTTGGTTGCGTTGGTTATGGTGCTTGGCTACTGACCTGAAACACACACGTTTGATTGCGGTCGCTGTGGTAGCGTTTTGATCAAGTTGAAATGGTGGAGGATTGTGTACTGTGCGATGTCGGTGTAGGTTAAAAACCCCCGTTAGTGTAGTTAAATACAACGAAACAGACAAGACATTGTGTGCATCTTTTTATGACAGGGGCCTATTTTTTTTTTTTGCTTGCTGCCTCTAAGCCACCAACTGCACCGCCCTCAAGGGTTGATGTCTCGGGTCTCAGAGGCGTTTTCTAATGCGGATGGGCAGAGAGGACGCTAGGCAGCACAGAAAACATGTTTTAATAATAAATAAGTGGAAAACTTGGAGAAAAACTAAACACTCGATGAGCAAACAAAGAAAAGTGCAAATCTTTCATGATAGAGTACTAACAAAAGCCCCAAAAGTAAACTCACACTAAAATAGTCAGTTCCTTCCGCTACAACAAACTACAGTCACTAACCACAGTCTGGTCACCTTGACCTTGCCATGGGTTGTAGCATGAATCGAACGCTCTTACCCTAACCCATTGATCGCCGTAAGCCCAACTTTCTATGTGTTGGGTCCGTGGCCGATGTAGTTGACAATCCTCTTCAATCGTCACCCCAATGCCTCACGGTAAATCACGCTGCCGTCGATGATGTAGCACAGCGTCTTCATCGCTTAAGCCTAGTACAAGCTCGGCCTTTTGTTCGACGTGGCGACGCCCGAGGGATTGCTGCTGGCCAACGTTCAAAAAGGGACTGCCACGGCTGGGCCCGTACTAGCCGAAAAATGCTGGAGCGCCTCAGCGTTGCAAGTTAACAGCTATGCCACGGATTGCAAGTGTTAGCATTAAGAACCAATTGACCGTTGCACCCTTCGACTAAGCAAAGCTGCAGATGCAACCTTCTTCTCCAGTAGCCACACAATGCCAGCTCATCGCACTTCCGTCTTTCATTACGGCTCGTGTCATGCGCATCGAGCCGTGTGCTACTCCATGCATGCGCTCGTGCCTCTTCTGCGTGCTTCTCCTCCTACTTCATTGTCGTCTTCCTCCATACCCCATCTCTTTACTCATGCAGTTGGTAGCAGCGATTGCCATTGCACTGACGATGCCTACGTAAAAGGGCGCGGAGCATTTGCCATATGGCAGATTGGGGCGATGGTGCCCGAGGTCCCGATGGTGCACATACGTGCCATGTTTGCGTACGGCATTAATTGGAGGAATGCCAGTGGCACACTACCTGAGCAGCAGTAGAACATCTGAGAAGATGAGCTGGCATTGTCCTGTGCAGCGCCGAACCAGTAAAGTCGAAGAAGACTCGGTTAACCCGGATCTGAAGGTAGCAGCGCAAGGGTGCTGGAAAGCAGCTGTCACCATCACTGACAGGCACGCTCCGGTCCTGCAGCTCCTTGCAACAGCAGTTTCCAGGACACCTGCCTCTCTTCGCCTTTCTCACAAGATGGCTGTGACCCTTGACTTGACAATCCCCGAAGTGTTCGTCGATGGTTAGACCTAACCTGCCGAGGCCTGTGACAACCGGTTCACAAACAATGAAGACAAAAGATTGTCAGATGGATGCTGATGGACGGCAACCAGACAACCACTTCCAGGATGTCAGCGACAGACACGATAAGACAGCGGCGCTACGTCGCAACCAAGCCCAGAGTTATGGGTAGTAAGATATTCGATGAATGTGCGATCACATGAGAGGTTCTAGAGAGCAGCCATCTTGGCTAGAGACTTGCTTAGGGCTTAGCATTGAACTAAACTTGTAATTAGTTCTTGTTTTGAAGTCTAGCGGATTCCAGTAAACATGTTTCTTCTTGTGAATTTTGAGTGTTTGTTTTCTAGTTGCATTTTTGCATGATAAAGTTTGTTTGCTGTGCCACCTCATACTCCCATCTCTTTCTCAATTCAATATTTAGCAAGCGGTTCCGAGATAATTGTGACATTAATTTGCGAACCTTTGCCAGGATTTTACCATCTTTTGGCCCAGTCACTCATCATGGGGGGTTGTAGGGATAGATTTGGAAAAGATATCAAGAGTCATTAGAGAGCAAAAGCTCAATAATGAGCAGGGCTTAAAGTTCATTTAAAAGGAGACGAAACAGCTTCAACAGGAATCCAAGGCTAAATGGGCCGTACCACAGAAAGCTTACGCTCGAGAAAAGCAGGAACTCCAGTGCAAACTTCGACTGACAGTAGTCAAAGGGGCGTTAAAAGGGATGAGAGAAGTTTCATAGAGGTTTCTATGGGAGAATTCAGTGTGCTGACCGTGAGTTCCACTGCCTTTGAGGAAAGGAGTAGCGAGCATGCGTGTTGTGTCATTGATAGCACACTAGTAAGTGGTGATTCGAAGGAACGGTGCTTAAAAGCTACGCCTATAGAGATCAAAGAGATGGAACACAGCTTTTTGCTGATGGGCATGCCTCATGTAGGAGGAAGCGTTCAACAGTCGCAAGATAAAACACCAGAGGATAGAAGGATAGAAGGAGGGTCTCAGACTAATTGTGGTAAACACATGAATGTGAAGGGGACACAGACAGCTCCAACGGTACTGAAAGGTCAAAACAGTTCACAGTTTCTCTAGCAAAGTTCACAGTTGCTGCTTGAGCAACACACCTTCCCTCTCTTCTTTTCAGCTCTTTCAAAACAGAAAGAGCGCTTCGGCTGCAGGCGTCTCAGGGGGGGAGCTTACCGCATGCGCCCTCCGAGCAGTGGTCCGGATCACTTGATCTCTGCTTCAGCTGTGTTTATCCCTCCTTGGTGCTCTTTTATCCGCAAATAGAACATATGATACATGGGGATATGCTGTCAATAGGCACTTTTAGCTTGTAGATATACTTCTTTACGTTAACGTGTTATCGGACACCAGTTTGTGTTTACCGTCTTACCGGAATGCATGTCTTTCAATGTTTTCACTGCTCATATGTAAACGTTTATGTACGCACATATAAACGCGTATACCCTTACGTTTTCGCAAACCATAAATGGCGATGATGACTACATTTTTTGATCGCATACAGTATCCTCAAATGTGCAAAAGGGTGAAAAATACAAGGTTACTGCAACCATGGTGTCCACATCTTGTGACACTTTCATGCAACCACAGTTGTGAACACATTGGCTTGCGCGTAATGTTTGTGAGGTGAGAATTAATAAAAAGGTAGCTCATTTGTAATAACGCCGCTACATTTTTTGCACCTGACGTACAATACATAATGTTTTTGCAATAACAATTTTGTGGTTACCTGGTTCAATATGGCCCCGCTAGATGGTGCCACCTATCCAGCTTGTAGCAGGCTCACACGACGTCTATGTGCTAGGCCATTCTAGCTTTGGTAATCCGGCTGAAACAATGTAAATGCTGTTCGCACTCGCACTTCGGCTTGTTTCAACTCGAACACGAGTTCCTACGAACGAAGGTGGATTTGCGAGATAGGGGGGAAAGGTAAATCTGGTGGGAAGCGTAAAGGTTTACGTTCAATAAAGACCCTTGCATGTGCAGATTCTATCTGGTAACACGGTAACATAAAGAAGTATACGTACAAGCTAAAAAGCCCCTAATTTGGACATTATACGGGACATGACGGCAACAGTGAAAACTTCTGAAGAGTGTCCATATAATTCCTATCGCGATATTAAGGCTATTGGACAATTTATCTGAGTGTTTGAAAAATGTAGCATTGAACAAATGTTGCTTTACTAGTGCGGTATAACGAGGCTACATCTGCTCTGATTGTTCTGAATGCTCTAAACTTGCTAGAAAAGGCCCTTCTGGCTACTCCAAGCATGCTACTAGAGGCACCTTTGCCTGCTTCCAGAACTGCTCCCAAACCCATGAGCCCTGTTCCACCCCTGTTGCCGCCTTCCATCGCCTTCACTGTCATGTTCTGTATACAGTTGACTTGGTTATATCAAACTATTGGCTATATTGAACAGTTGAGAAATCCCCTTAAACATTGTATGCTTAAGTGCGCAGCTACTGCAGATGTATATGGAGGCTCGCACAGCCAAACATCTTATATATCAAATGCTGCGCCACGCTGAAGTGCTGAGGGTGCATTTTTTTAACAGATATCGACCATTTTTTGGCCACATTCTAGCAAGTTTTGATTCATTTTAGCACTCCGGTGGCAAAAAAGTGGTGTCAGTGTCATTGCATTGCATTGCTTTGGTTAGTTGCACAGCGGTTGCAAGTGCACCGGCTTGTTTGATGCACGATGTGTAGGTTAGAGGAAGAGATGCCTAAGCACCACCAGAAGAAAGAGCAAGCAAAAGAAAAGGGTGTCTTTTTTCTGTTGGTGCTTAGTAAATTTTTTTCTCGAGGTTATATGCCAACTTGACCAATATCAAAGCCCATCTAGGTTGTGATGCACAGCTACTTTTTTATAGAGAGCAAGGGCACCAAAGTGTGATGTATAATACAAAGTGACTCAGCGGCCTCATTACAATGCTTGCATTTTTTCGCTTGTTAGTTCACGTACTGTGGTCATCATTATGATTAGCCTTACTACGCCCACTGCAGGGCAAAGGCCTCTCCCATGATCTGCCAATCGACCCACTGTGGTATTCAGGCGCAAAAGCATGGCCATTTAGAAATGCGTCGGAATGCAGCTTACCTTAAGATTAGGGTTGTGGGAATATTTGAATGTTTTAAATATTGTGATGAATATTATCGAATTGACTTCGATTTATATTTAAATTATTGTAGATTTAAAAGTGTTCGAAATGGACAAATAGGTGTATATTAGTCTGCATGTGACTCTCTATAAAGGTTGCTTTACTGTTGCGGAGAGGTCCTAAGCCACGAAAGCACCTATGTGTGTATTAGCACGCATGTAAAGGAGTGCTAAGCTGTGAAAACCTTCTTCCAGGGGAAATATGCACTGCCACGAAGCCTTACTTCAAGGTTAAATGAACATACTACCGTCACTTCCTTTGCACCAGACAGAATGGCATTTGCACAGGCTTTGTATGACCTAAAAAAAATACTGTGCAGGTTACTTAAGTCATGATGAGTATGCTGATTTTTGTTTGCTATATATTATTCAAATTGAATTTGAATAAAATTACTATTTAATTTGCTTTGAACCTAAAATTCACCATGTGCTTGTTTTTTCCTACATGCTCAGTTTTCTACGGCATGTAAAGAAAAGTGGTTCAGATTCACAAAAGCTGTCAGCTTCTATTGGGCTAATTGTTGTCTTTTTCATTTCTAGTGAACAGGGATTGCCTACCAACTTTTATGATGGACTGTGTCTACATGAAACACCATGACAACATTAGACACCAGCAAGCAGAAAATTTAAGGTGCTTTTGAAGCATAGAAAGTGCCGTGCTCTTATTCAAAAGCACTTTGGAAAAAATAAATGCCACATTCAATAGTGCAAGAAGTGTCACATGTAATATGGTACAGCAGAAGAGTATAATTTCACCACACATGAATAGTGTAACAAGGGGGGGGGGGTTCGAATTTTTGCCTATGAAAAAGCACTCGGGCATTATTAATGGTGATCAGCAACAGCATCAACAAAGTGGCCAGATGCACAGGTGCTCGTGTTGCCTTCCGTTGGTAGGAAGTATTCTATCAATTTGCGTAAGGAAGAATTGAGATGTAGAGGGCAGTAGGCGTTCTAGAATACTTTGAAAAGGCCTATGTTATGCGCACAGACAGTCCTCTTGCAGCACAGCTGAAATGACAATTGAGAAGCGAACCCATGCTAGTGATTACTGCACTATTGTGTTTCGTCTTGAAGGCAAAGCTTAAGAGCCTCTTTAGGCTGTAGCCCGCTATAACCCCATATCTCAACAACCTTTTGTTTCACGCAGGAGGAAGAAATTTGTCATACAGTCTTCCCACTGGTGGAGGCCACTTTGGTGTGGATGCACACACGGGTGTGGTGCATACCTTGGCACTGCTTGACCGAGAGGTGCAGGTGCAGCACGAGTTTGTCATGTTTGTGACTGACGACCAGAATCAGGTTGACAGCTGCCTGGTGCTAGTGCGGCTCCTGGACGTCAATGACCAGAGCCCCGAGTTTGACGACTCATGCCGAGGGCTCGCTGTCCCGGAGAATGGACCACCAGAGTTGCACACCCTGGTTGCTTGGGACCGTGATGAAGGTCCCAACGCTCGTATTCTGTACTCCATCACAGGTGAGTTTATAAATCACTGAGCAGCAATTCACTTTCTCCGAAAATAGTGCTTGCCTTGGTTACACATAGCAAGAAGGTTCTTCTCACACATGACATGAAATCTTTTGTACAGTCAAAACCTACTACACTGGGACAACAAATTTTTTTCAATTCTCAATACCACATTGACGGAAAATAAAAATTCTGGCAAGTTTCACACATTGTGGGAATCCAGGTCATGCAATACACTCACTGAATATCTGCCTTCAGGGTTTGTCGAAAAAATAGTGCCAGTGCGTATACGTAGTTCTGATTGCACATCCAAGTGCGTCAGCTGGTGTTGGTGGAAAATGAGGTTCACTTGTGCCCACATGGTTGCTTATTCACCACCCAGTGGTGGAAAACCTGTGCCGTGCTGTTCCGAAAGGGTCTTTTTTGTGTAATTTGCATCCATTGCTGTGCCACCAGCTAGTTTTGGAATCAAAAGTAATGTTGACTGCACGCATCATGAGTGGATATTACTGTACCATAATTACTCGCATAATTCGCACGCTCACATGATTCTCGCACCCCCGACATCGCTCAACAAAAATAAGATTTCTTTTTTTTCTTCTAGCAATTGTTGCACCCCCGAAAATTGCTGTAATATTGTCATCTGCTCGTTCCAAACATTGATGATGATAGCACACACCATCTGGCGCCATCTTTTAAACATCAAGCGTGCTATTATTGCACGGAGATTCAATCCAATCGAAGCCAAGCCAAAGTGGCAACTGCGCGTTGGGGCATGTTTTGTATGTTGTGTCGGTAATCTTGTCACGTTATGGGGCGATACTGAAGCCACACGGCTGTTTTCAAGTTGAAAGTGATTGCTCATGCACTAAACAACGGCAACAGGGCCGCCGGTAAGCCCTTTGGATTCGACGAGTTTTGTGTTCGCTGTTGGTGACGGCGGCTGAAAGCCACCAAGACGGGTTGGACCTGCCGTGTGCCTAAGATTGGGATTTATGGTAAACTTTATTTCTTCAGAAGGAAACTGCCGATGATTCTGTTAAATAGCCATCAGCCTAATACTGACGTCTTAGCTTACCTTTTGAGGGCTCCTGTTGAGTGACGAATGGTACCACTATGCCCGCAACGGCCACAAGCTTTGCGTGTGGTATTCTAATTCTCGACTATTTGCTTGCACTTTTTTGTGTCTCAAATAAATCTTGCCTTGTGTTGAACCTGTGCTTTTTTTGTTGAAGTAAGTTATAATTAGTACTTCTCAAAGCTCGCTGTTAGTTGCTGGTGTGAGAATCCCGATTTGCGGCCACTTTGTTTTCTTTTTCACTCTTTGTTTTCTTTTTAGCTTTTATTAATTTTGTTATATTCAGGATTAACAGTAGCTGCTATCTCAGAAAAGGAATTTCTTTCTGGATGGTACCCACACACCCCCTAATCTGATGACGATATGCTTGAACATACTCGAATATCTAATCAATGTTATTTAGCCTTGGATTTTTTGCAAAACGTGACCTCCATCAGAATCACTAGTGGTTGCGCATGCAATTTTAATTACTTGGACTTCAGAAAGGCAGTATGTCTTCTGTCAAAGCCTCTGCTCAGAAAGTGGTAGATAGATCAACTTAAGTACAGATTGACTGTGGGTGCAAGCTGTTTGGACCCTGTGTGCATTGTCACGCACGATACACTTGATGACAGGCAACTACACTCACACAACCATTTAATCTCCGTGCCACATCCCGATGGCCCGCGTCCCACTTCCCGCGCGCCTCTTCACTGTTCACGTGACACTCGCGCGCTACGTCGTTCTTCGACCGTCAACTACACACAACCTCAGAGATCCACACACAACCCCACTCACGTGCCACCTCGTTCCTCGACCATCAACTGCACCCAACCCCTTGGGACTCTCTCTTATTCCTCACAACTCTCCCACCCTCGAATTGTGGATTCGGGGCGGAAGGGAGAAGCAATGGTTCATGTTACAGTACCGACTGATCAGCATCAAAAAAAAAATCACATCGAAGGCGTGTAAAAAGCTCGGCCTGCTCAAGAGTCACCTTTATTTAGCTAATTCAGAGACACAACTTCACGCGTATAATGCTCTTATCCGCTCTTCACTAGAATACGCGCAAATCATCTGGCATCCACATCAGATGTGTCTGACTAACATGCTTGAATCCGTACAGAATAAGGCCGCGCGCTTCATTCTGTCATCGTACTCAAGATACCAGAGTGTATCTGCCTTGAAGGACGAACTTAATCTCCCCCCTCTCACCCAACGCAGGCAGCTGTCAAGATTAACTTTTTTTCACACCCTGTACCATCATTCAACACCATTCGCTCGCAAATTTATACTCCCGGCACCCTATACGTCCGCACGCGCTGACCACGCTCACAAAGTTGGCCCAATTTTTGCCCGAACAAACAAATATCAGAACTCACCCCTTGTTCTGGCAATCAATGAATGGAATTCTTTACCTAGTAGCCTAGTGGACCAAACAGACACCTCTTCTTTTCAAACCGCACTCCTCGCTTTTCTAGCTATTCAAAATACCCTGTAACTTGTCTTCATTATGCTCATCTTTTCTAGGCTGTAAATTTGTGTTCCTGCCTTCCAAATACCAGATTTTCTGTCACTTTTACACTTTTTTTATATGTTTCACGCTGTACTTTGCAATTGTGTACTTTTGCTGCCTTTATGATATTGTAATGTCACTTTTGTTGTGTTGATTCTTTCTTTTTACAATATTGTACGTTGTGTCGGCTTTCAGCCCATTGCCCCCCTGTGTAATGCCCATTCGGGCCCTTAGGGTACCTAAATAAATAAATAAATAAATAAATAAATAAATAAATAAATAAATAAATAAATAAATAAATAAATAGGCAATGGTTCGACGATGCCGTGTGACAGGATCACTCGGGGTTGAAGTCATTTTCATCAACCTGCCTGACCACATAATAAGGTCCACCTCGCCGCAGTGCCAACTTAGCCGAAACACCTTTGGCTACATTACTCAAGGTATGAGTGTCCAAGAGCACAAGGTCACCTTCTCTGATGGTTGTTAACTGTCGATGACAGTCATAAGTTGACCTCTGGGTCTGCCAGGCTGCTGCTTGATGCTTCTTAGTGTACTTCAGAGCTTCTCCAAGGCACTGCTGAAGTTCTGCAGCAAGAGCATGGTGCACTGCCTCTGGAGGTTCTGTCTCCTCCTTGTGCCCTGCAGGTTCCTACAGAGTGCGCAACTCTTTGCTGTAACAAAGCAATGCTGGAGTATATCCGGTGACTACACTCCCTGCAGTAGGCATGGCAAAGCTGATCTCGGGTATATGACGGTCCCAGTCTTCGTGGTCACTGCAGTAGGCTCGTAGACACTGTTTAATCATGCCATTTTGACGTTCCACCATCTGTCTAGCTGGCCTACCGGGTAAGGCACAGTATGCCGATCCCTGATTCCTCAGTGTTTCAAAAGGTTGCACCATAATGTGCTGATGAAGGGCTTCCCCTTGTCACTGGTGATTTCCACTGGTGTCCCATGGCAACAAAGGACTTCAACCATACACTCCAGTATTTTTGTACTGGTTGCTGCTCGCAGAGGGAATAGCTCTGGGAACTTGGTGAACTTGTCAATGACTATGGGCAAGTATTTGTGGCAATGAGGGGTAGACGGCAAGGTTCCAATAACTTCGACGCTAAGCTGTTCATCAGGCCTTCAGGCTTTTTCCATCGAGCTTTTGTGCACTGACATATAGCACAGCCCTACACATACACTCAAACCTCGTTATATTGTAACGGGATATAACAAAATAATGGATATAATGAAGTAAGTGAAATTCCCCTTGAAAACTCTATTGAGAACCATGCATTTTAAACCTCGTAATGAAGTAAAATTGACTGGTAAGTGGATATAACAAACTAAATTAGTCTATCAAATAGTCTATAAAAGAAACGTCCGTAGTGTGTTAAGTATATCGTTTTCTGCGGAGTTTGACGCTCGTTCAGCGCGGCTCTGTCAAAACTCCCGCGCTGATCTTACAGCCACACTCCGCGTGGCCAAGAGAGCCGTCCTCCTCACACAGCTAGCGGAGAGGATTGAGGGAGCTCTCAGTGGGTCACATTACCGAGAAGCGGCGCCACAGTGCAAAGCAATTTCCCTCTCATGACGGCAATGACTGCGTCTCCGCTGCTACCATGCGTCTCCGTGCTACCCTCTGCACCGAGAAAGGAGGACTCTCCGTGACAGCGTTCTTTTTTTTTCCTCTCTTTCCGCGCGCGGCCTTGAAAGAAGAAGGGTCTCTATGTGCAGAGATGGTGTGGAACAGGCGTGTCGCAGATCGGCATTTGAGAGAGAGCAGACAATCCGCCACAGTCTTTTCTTTCCTTCGCGCGGTATGGTACTGAGAGCATTTTCAAAGCGCGGTATGTTCCAAGTAACCGTCGCAAGTGCTTGCGCATTCGAATTACAGGGCGTTTTTGCCCATTGGAATACGCATAGCTTTGACGGGACCTCAGCAGGAGTTCGAATTAGCCGAAAGTTCGAAATAATGAGATTCGACTTAGTTTATTTTTTGTGGTACACATGGTCGCGTAGCGGCACGTCGGGCCGCAAGGCGGTTTTAATTTTTGCGTGCTTATAGGTGTGCGCCCATCTGAGCATACATTGCCACAAACTGTTATAATCGATATAATGAAATAATGGATATAACGAAATAATTGTGGCTCCCCTTCAACTTTGTTATGATGAGGCTTGAGTGTACCTCGATATGTCTGTTCGCATGCCCAGCCAGACAAATCATGCCGCTACACGTCTCAAAGTTTAGAAAAATCCAGTGTAGGCCGCAGTGGGATGGTCATGCACCATTTTAATACCAGGTGCCGGAGGTGAGAGGGCAGCCATGGTACCTTCTTGTTGCCTTTTTGCTGAACAAGCAGGTCACTTGGCTCTAGTTCTGTTGTTTCTGCCAGATCATGGAGAAGGCGATGATTAGGGTGTGAATTTCTGTTTTCAAACAGT